GTATCACTGACAAGCATCCACTGTAAAATACTGGAAAGAATAATTAGGCTACGACTGGTTGCACACCTGGAGAACATTAGGTTTGTGAACAAACATCAACATGGGTTCTGGACAGGGAAATCGTGCCTAACAAACCTTCTGGAATTCTATGATAAAATAACGAGGATAAGACAGGACAGAGATGGTTGGGCAGACTGCATATTTCTGGACTGCCAAAAAGCCTTTGATACAGTACCGTACATGAGACTGCTGTTCAAACTCGAGAGGCAGGCGGGGGTGGGGGGAAAGGTCCTAGCATGGATAAGGAACTACCTAACAGGAAGGAGCCAAAGAGTTACGGTAAGGGGCGAGAAGTCGGACTGGCGAACAGTAAAAAGTGGAGTACCACAAGGATCGGTGCTGGGACCAATTCTATTTCTTGTATATGTTAACGACATGTTTACAGGCGTAGAGTCCTACATGTCGATGTTTGCGGATGACGCAAAGTCGATGAGAAGAATTGTGACAAATGAGGATTGCAGGATCATCCAAGAGGACCTGAACAGGTTGCAGAGATGGTCAGAGAAATGGCTACTGGAATTCAACACGAGCAAATGTAAAGTTATAGAAATGGGACTAGGAGATAGGAGACCAAAGGGACAGTACACAATGAAGGGGAACAGCCTACCTGTGACGACGCGCGAAAGAGATCTGGGTGTAGACGTAACACTTAATCTATCTCCTAAGGCACATATAAATAGGATAACGACAGCAGCGTACTCTACACTGGCAAAAGTTAGAACATCATTCAGAAACCTAAGTAAGGAGGCATTTAGGGCGCTTTACACTGCCTTCGTGAGGCCAGTCTTAGAGTATGCCGCCTCATCATGGAGTCCCCATTTGAAGAAGCATATAATGAAACTGGAAAAGGTTCAGAGGTTTGCAACGAGACTCGTCCCAGAGCTACGAGGGATGGGGTATGAGGAGCGCCTGAGGGAACTGTACCTTACGACAATAGGAAGAAGAAGGGAGAGGGGGGGACATGATAGGAACGTATAAAATACTCAGAGGGATTGACAGAGTGGACACGGACGAAATGTTCACACGGAATAGTAACAGAACGAGGGGACATGGATGGAAGCTTGAAACTCAGATGAGTCACAGAGATGTTAAGAAGTTTTCTTTTAGCATGAGAGTAGTGGGAAAATGGAATGCACTTCAGGAACAGGTTGTGGAAGTAAATACTATTCATAATTTTAAAACCAGGTATGATAGGGAAATGGGACAGGAGTCAATGCTGTAAACAACCGATGCTCGAAAGGCGGGATCCAAGAGTCAATGCTCGATCCTGCAGACACAACTAGGTGAGTACAAGTACACACCTTCCCTACTCCTCCCCTGCGAGTCACAAGTACACACCTTCCCTACCCCTCCCCTGCGACCATCCATGTTCCTGACACCAGTTGCTCCCTCCCTTCCTCGCCTGCCCTAGCTCATCCACCTCCATCAGTTGTGTGTGGCCCGTACCCAGCAGTGATCACGGGGAGGTGAAGTCCAGCCTTGCATGTGCAGCCTCCTAGCCCTCCTGTGCTTGGTGCGCTTGTTTCAGCTTTACTGATGTCCGAGTTCTTTGTCGTGTCTGGCTTTACAGGTTGGTTCCACGATTTCCTCTTTCAATGCATTTAATTTGTTGACCTCGTGCTGGGCACCAGTATTTTCATACATTTCTTTGACTACTAACCAATAATTCAGCTGTTCAACTTTTCAGACAAAGAACTTTCAGTTTATGTAGTACACATAGACTTTTCTGATTTACCTGTGGTGTAATTTAATAACGTTCCACATGGAAGACTGGCAAGGAAATTACAAACACATGGAATAAATGGGAGATAAATAAAACAATGGTTAAAACAAAGGAAGCAATGCGTCATCCTAAATTTAAATCAATCTGACTTGAGGAATGTGGTGAGCGGCCGGGGTGCCTCAGGGGCTCATTTTGAGCTTTGATGTCCAAAGAGCTTGGAGAGGATGTGAGAGGAAGAAGGATGGGGCGGTAAAATTCTTGGAAGAGGTTTTGGAAATGGAGAGAGGAGGCTTATAGTTTGGTGGCCTGTCAACCGCGGATTGGAGATGTTTTTTTCAGTCAAAGCCTATAGCTTGAGTTCTTCTTCAGCGGCAGGAGGCTAGTGGTGATGCGGTGTGATGTCCTGGGTCACTTGAGGTCTTCTGTCTGGCTTTCCCCCATTTTGAGGCCAAACATTTTGTAATTTATATCAATTATATAGATGAGAATATTACTAACATCATCAAATTTGCAGATGACACTAAGATTTATTGTAAAATGGGAAGTGAAAATAATATTTTGGCCGTACAAAACTATCTACATAAACTCCTGAAATGACCGGAAGAGTGGCAAATACTTTTTAATAATGAAAATTTATTTTATTTATTTATTTATATACAAGATTTCTTACAATCTTGTACAGCCACTAGCATGCATCGTGGCAGGTCCTTAATCCTAATCCCCCTCCACAGGAGTACGACCTGTGAAATCGTTTAACAACTAGGTACCCATTCACTGCTGGTGAACAGAGACTACAATCAAGGATTGGCGCCTCCCAATCCTCCCTGGCCAGAATACAAACCCAGGCCAAAGCGCTCGAGAAGCGCCGGGCGAGTTCTTTACCACTGTACCACTGGGACTGTAAAATGCAGACCTTGCAAAGGAGTAAAACAGTGTACGTCACAATTAGCAACATTATGTTGCAGCAGATTGACGAAGAAAAGAACCTTGGCGTCAGAACCATTGAAGTCATTGAAAGTAGCACAACAAGTGGGAGCTCCACTTCAAGTGGGAGCTCCAGAAAAAAAAGCGAACCAAACTCTAGGAATAGTCAAACAAACCTTTGACTTCAAAGAAAATAAGTCTTTATTCTACTGTATAAAGAATAAATACTCTGTTGCGACCCCCGCCTGGTGGAGAAACGTCGACGTTTTGGCGTGATAATGGTCCAGGACCGACCGAAATGTCGTCGTTTCTCCATCTTCTGATGTGTAATTTGGTCATGATATCCTCAGCCACGTGATTGTGACTCATCGTCTACTGCATCCACACATGGAGACCTCATCTTCAGAAAGACACAGCTGCTTTAGAGAACGTTCAACGCCGAGCGACAAAAATCATTCCAGAATTAAGTGGTCTCTCGTACCAGGAACGGTTGAGGGGCCACAGGGTTAACAACACTACAAACTAGGCATGAGAGGGCGGATCTCACTGAAACTTAAAATACTGAACAAGTAAAATACTGATCCAGACCACGTCTTTAAAAGATCAGATACAGCACACACGATGAACAACGGTCTTCTGCTCAAGAAGCTACATTTATGTAGGACAAAAAACAGGAGATGCGTTTTTACCCATAGAGTTTTAAAACCTTGGAACCGCCTACCCGCAGAAGTCATAAATGCCAGGATATTGTTGTAGTTCAAAATTCTGCTAAATAAAATAATAAGGAAAAATGAGGTGACCGGACAAGTCGTCGGATTCCTGTCCTCGTCGGGGTCAATATAGAGATGGTGACTCTCAGGTAAATTCAAGTAAATGAAAATACTCATTTGTATTTCGAGTTTCTACTGATGTCCTCTTGGACTATTTTCTATCATATTAAAGAGGATGTGTTTGGTTATCATGTATATTCCCTTCACTATCTTTCTACTGCTCATTTCGACTCTCAACTTCCCAATCATTCCCTGAGATCTCTCTCTCTCGCCTGATGCACACAACCATGGCGTCTCACACCAACACCAGGTGTTAAGAATTAATTTAGTCTCATGGTTAACTCTGACGGCTATTAAACACCAAGAAAGATCAAGAACTCGTAATTACAATCAAGAGCACCTGTCCTAATGCCTGTCATTCATGCTGAAACTTTAAGGGTTACTTTTCTTGTCCCCTGCTGTCTGACCTTAACGTGACAGTGACTGTCTCGTCAAACAACAAACAGTACTGGAGTTAACACGAAAATGCCGAAGCATTGCATGAATTCAAGATCCAGTTGGATTAAATCATCAGGACAACTGGGGGACATTTGACAAGCCACCGGCTTCCTGTTCTCGTTCGAGGTCACTAGTACGATTGTGCCCCTCAGGTAAATTCAAGTAAATTAATCAACCAAAACTCCACAAACCAACATTATACTCTCAGTGCTTGACTCTTTCTCATAAGATTCTTCAGCACCGATAGTTACTAGTTAACCTGTGGGGGAGTTTAGGGACTTGTAAACTGCCATCGTAGAGGTCGTCAAACACCTGTATCCCCCATGTAGAACACAGGGCGCTCACACATGCTCAACACCACTGGTTCCACTACTCTGATACATTGATTACTTCAACACAAGGGTCCTCTCCACCTGCTACCTTAGCTGGCACTCAAGCAACACTCACGGCACCTGCACAGTTGCTAGGCCATTGCAATCATATTTTGTGGTGCAATTGTTGGAAATGCCGGACTTAGACGATTCTAGATATATTTTATAGATGTGTCGCGACATTCGGGGTCAGTTAGGAGTTAAAGTTTGCTCTAATAAATTCATTTATGTACAGATCACTTTTAATTGTTGCCGCTGGAGGCGTCTACTTTGTTGTGCACCATACTCATACTGTGACGGGAAGCGCAAAGTGATTAGTAAAGACAAAGCAGGACTTATCAGACCCCAGCTGTAATTTTTACGTTAACATTGTCATATAATGTGCTGATGGTTTATCACTGATGGTTTCAACCCAGATCACCTTCAATAATGTTCACATTCTGCCTGAACTTCCAACCCTTCCGACCTACTCCCGCTTAATTTACATTCCCGATTTTTGTTCCAAGATTACCATAGCTACACTACACCACCTGGCTTACTCAAGACCACACCACAGGCCTGTTAATAAATATTGCTTAATAAATAAAGACAGCTCCACTGACATCAACAACACTGTGTTGTGCAGCAGGCAAGAGGCGCCCCACACACACCTACCTCTCTGGCTTCTGACCTTCAACTGATACGCAACAACAAGGGTGGTGATCACTAACAGCGGGGCGGCCAGGGTACTTCTGGCCATGTTCTCCTGTTTACTGTTACACATCTCAATTCAGAAGCCACTCGTCAACCAGGAAATTGGGAAAATATTTCAGCTCCGCATTGTCTATGGTAGCGTTGTTAGGATATGACTGGAATGTTTGGTGAGAGAGGGACTCCCATGCTAGTGGCCTAGCATGTTAGTGGCCTCCCATGATAGTGGCCTCCCATGTTAGTGGTCTCCCATGCCAGTGGACTTCCAGTTGTTTACATCATAAACTCCCAGTCATGCCAACTTGCAGCTCTGTCTGATAAATAGTCCCTTCACCCTGCAGTTGTTTTGACTCAGTCACCATGTGCCACAATTAAGGCATTTCGGTGCGTCACAAAGCATCACAAAACTTCACAATAAGGGTATGATGCCTCACAATGCAGTTGTTAGAGATACAGTTCACTACAGGTGTCAGCGGTACAGTTCACTACAGGTGTCAGCGATACAGTTCACTACAGGTGTCAGCGATACAGTTCACTACAGGTGTCAGTGATACAGTTCACTAGAGGTGTCAGTGATACAGTTCACTACAGGTGTCAGAGATACTGTTCACTACAGGTGTCAGATATACTGTTCACTACAGGTGTCAGTGATACGGTTCACTACAGGTGTCAGAGATTCGGTTCACTACAGGTGTCAGCGATACGGTTCACTACAGGTGTCAGCGATACGGTTCACTACAGGTGTCAAAGATTCGGTTCACTACAGGTGTCAGCGATACGGTTCACTACAGGTGTCAGAGATGTGGTTCACTACAGGTGTCAGAGATACAGTTGTACATGACATGACAGAAGTCAGCCAAAGTTGCTTCAGACATGGAGATGCGAACCCGAGATGTCTCTGTGATGGCAACACATGTTGTACACACATCTACCAAAAAGACTATTTTAGGGGCTACTAATCACTATTTTTCTTTTGTATCTTTTCAACCACAGACTTGGCTATACATTTATATTTCTAATCAGAATATATACATTTTTTGGGGGGGTGGGGGGTGGACAGGGTAAGAGATCTGTTAGATATCATATAGGGATTGAATTTGCTTTTCAAAGCTATCATCTTAGTCTATCTTTCACAAACAGGACAAAGAATCTGTTGTAGTACATACATAGCGATGGCTCTGTATGTACATACTCTGTATGTACTACGCCTTAGATTGATACAAGTACAGGATCAGGTGAACAAACAAATAGAATAAAGGAAAAAGGCAAGGGGAAAATAAGGGCACATCAAATAATTAATCAGGTGTAGTAAGCCTATTATGTTGAGCAGTGTCTTCTGTGTTGGCATCGTTATGTTCTGGTCTTGTTCTTACTCTCATGGTGGGTAGAGTAAATAGTTCCGTGATTTGGGTGTTCATGGTAGGTTGTCCTATTTCTATGTGGATTTGTAATTCAATTGTATTCAATGGTAATTGATTTGTAATTGTAATTCATGAATTTGTAATCATCTTTCATCTTGGGCTTTATCTATTATACAAGTGTTTTTATTCAGCATTTCTCATGTTATGGTGATGTCATGGGCTTCTCTCATGTGATTCCTAGAGCCACCGGAATTATATATATATATATATATATATATACATATATATATATATATATATATATATATATATATATATATATGCGAACAAGCCTGAATGGTCCCCAGGACTATATGAGACTGAAAACTCACACCCCAGAAGTGACTCGAACCAAAACTCCCAAGAGCAACGCAACTGGTATCTACAGGACGCCTTAATCCGCTTGACCATCACGACCGGACATAAGGAAGTGATAGCCGAAGTTATTTGAACCACTTCCTCCCCGGCACTTGGATGGTAATCTTGGGCATAGCATTTTATCAAGTCACCTCATTCTTTGGGGCACACGTGAGGAACACAAATGCGAACAAGCCTGAATGGTCCCCAGGACAATATGTGACAAAACTCACACCCCAGAATTAACTCGAACCCATACTCCCAGGAGCAACGCAACTGGTATCTACAGGACGCCTTAATCCGCTTGACCATCACGACCGGACATAAGGAAGTGATAGCCGAAGCTATTTGAACCACTTCCCCGCTGGCACTCGGATATATATCTATATATATATATATATATATATATATATATATATATATATATATATATATATATATATATATATATATATATATATATATATATATATATATATATATATATATATATATATATATATATATATATATATATATGTCGCACCTAGTAGCCAGAACGCACTTCTCAGCCTACTGAGAAGTGCGTGTGTGTGTGTGTGTGTGTGTGTACTCACCTAATCACCTAATTGTGCTTGCGGGGGTTGAGCTCTGGCTCTTTGGTCCCGCCTCTCAACCGTCAATCAACTGGTGTACAGATTCCTGAGCCTATTGGGCTCTATCATATCTACATTTGAAACTGTGTATGGAGTCAGCCTCCACCACATCACTTCCTAATGCATTCCATTTACTAACTACTCTGACACTGAAAAAGTTCTTTCTAACGTCTCTGTGGCTCATTTGGGTACTCAGCTTCCACCTGTGTCCCCTTGTTCGCGTCCCACCAGTGTTGAATAGTTCATCCTTGTTTACCCGGTCGATTCCCCTGAGGATTTTGTAGGTTGTGATCATGTCCCCCCTTACTCTTCTGTCTTCCAGTGTCGTAAGGTGCATTTCCCGCAGCCTTTCCTCATAACTCATGCCTCTTAGTTCTGGGACTAGTCTAGTAGCATACCTTTGGACTTTTTCCAGCTTCGTCTTGTGCTTGACAAGGTACGGGCTCCATGCTGGGGCCGCATACTCTAGGATTGGTCTTACATATGTGGTGTACAAGATTCTGAATGATTCCTTACACAGGTTCCTGAACGCCGTTCTGATGTTAGCCAGCCTCGCATATGCCGCAGACGTTATTCTCTTTATGTGGGCTTCAGGAGACAGGTTTGGTGTGATATCAACTCCTAGATCTTTCTCTCTGTCTGTTTCATTAAGTACTTCATCTCCTATTCTGTATCCTGTGCCTGGCCTCCTGTTTCCACTGCCTAGTTTCATTACTTTGCATTTACTCGGGTTGAACTTCAACAGCCATTTGTTGGACCATTCACTCAGTCTATCCAGGTCATCTTGTAGCCTCCTACTATCATCCTCTGTTTCATTCCTCCTCATAATTTTTGCATCGTCGGCAAACATTGAGAGGAACGAATCTATACCCTCTGGGAGATCATTTACATATACCAGAAACAGTATAGGTCCAAGGACTGACCCCTGCGGGACTCCACTTGTGACGTCTCGCCAATCTGAGACCTCACCCCTCACACAGACTCGTTGTCTCCTGTTGCTTAGGTACTCCTCTATCCACCGGAGTACCTTCCCTCTCACTCCAGCCTGCATCTCCAACTTTCGCACTAGCCTCTTGTGTGGCACTGTATCAAAGGCTTTCTGACAATCCAAAAATATGCAGTCTGCCCACCCTTCTCTTTCTTGCCTTATTTTTGTTGCCTGGTCGTAGAATTCAAGTAACCCTGTGAGGCAGGACCTGCCATCCCTGAACCCATGTTGATGCTGTGTTACAAAGTTCCTTCGCTCCAGATGCTCCACTAGTTTTTTTCGCACAATCTTCTCCATCAGCTTGCATGGTATGCAGGTTAGGGACACTGGCCTGTAGTTCAGTGCCTCCTGTCTATCCCCTTTCTTGTATATCGGGACTACGTTAGCTGCTTTAGAAATATCTGGCAGTTCCCCTGTTGCCAGTGATTTGTTATACACTATGGAGAGTGGTAGGCTCAGTTCTCTTGCTCCTTCCTTTAGAACCCAAGGGGAGATTCCATCTGGGCCTATAGCCTTCGTCACGTCCAACTCTAGTAAACACTTCCTTACTTCCCCACTGGTAATCTCAAACTCTTCCAGTGGTTCCTGGTTAGCTATTCCCTCACTTACCTCTGGAATTTCTCCTTGCTCTAAGGTGAAGACCTCCTGGAATTTCTTATTCAATTCCTCACACACTTCCTTGTCATTTGTAGTGAATCCTTCCGCCCCTATCCTTAATCTCATAACCTGTTCCTTTACTGTTGTTTTTCTCCTAATGTGGCTATGCAACAATTTAGGCTGAGTCTTTGCCTTGCTTGCGATGTCATTTTCGTATTGTCTTTCTGCCTCTCTTCTCATCCTGACATATTCATTCCTGGCATTCTGGTATCTTTCTCTGCTCTCCAGTGTCCTGTTATTCCTATAGTTTCTCCATGCCCTTTTACTTTGCTGCTTAGCTAGCCTACATCTTTGATTAAACCATGGGTTTCTCATCTTCATTTCTCTGTTTTCCTTTTGGACTGGGACAAACTTGTTTGCTGCGTCCTTGCACTGCTGCGTGATGTAATCCATCATATCTTGGGCCGTCTTTCCCCTGAGCTCTGTTTCCCATGCTATATCTGTTAGGAATTTTCTTATCCCCTCATAGTTTCCCTTTCGGTATGCTAACCTTTTGGTTTCGGTATCCCTCCTCGAGTTCAATAACCCTTCTTCAATCAAGTACTCAAACACCAGTACACTGTGGTCGCTCATTCCTACTGGGTCCTCAAAACCGATTTCTCTGATGTCGGAGTCGTTCAGAGTGAAGACTAGGTCGAGTCTCGCTGGTTCGTCATTGCCTCGCATCCTTGTGGGTTCTCCGACATGCTGGGTTAAAAAGTTGCTTGTCACCACCTCCAATAGTTTGGCTCTCCACGTATCCTCGCCTCCATGCGGTTCCTTGTTCTCCCAGTCAATCTTTCCGTGATTGAAGTCGCCCATGATGAGCAGGTGGGATCTATTTCTACAGGCAGCAGAGGCTGCCCTCTCAATTATAGTGTTAACTGCCTTGTTGTTGTTTTCATACTCTTGACTGGGTCTCCTGTCATTTGGTGGAGGGTTGTATATTACTGCTACTACTATTCTTGGTCCTCCCATTGTTATGGTGCCTGCTATGTAGTCTCTGAACTCCTCACAGCCCGGGATGGCCATCTCCTTAAAACTCCAT